ACGTTGAAAAAGATAACGGCAAACCACCCTAATATTTTAAAAATGATTCCAAATGAAAATTTGTTAGGTACTAATTTTTTTAAATTCGAAAAGAAAAGTACAACAAAAACTCTGGAAATTCAATGGAATGCGATATCTGACCAGTTTTCCTACATTACAGAGTCAATACCTGCATTATCCGCCATAACAAAACTACAAATTCTATACTTTGTGGTAAAAATTTTCGACCCCGCAGATGGCTTTCGCCAATTATGATACAAGCCAAAATCCTAATACAAGAATTATGGCTAGATGGAACCGATTGGGACGAACAAGTAAAACCATTTCGTGTAGAAAAGTAGTCCCAGTTTGCGAGCAATCTAAATGATATCTCACAGATACAAATCCCACGATGGGTAAATTATGCCCCAGAGCACAAAGTCGAACTACATGGCTTCTGTGATGCCTCTGAAAAAGCATATTGCGCCACTATTTACGTTCGCACACAAAGCGACATTGCGACCACAACCCACTCACTAGTAGCAAAAGCAAAAGTAGCTCCCATAAAAATAATAAGTCAAATTAGTATCCATGATGCAAATGCATCTAAACATGGCAAAATACAAATTATAGCCTGGTTAGAAAAACCACCTTTTGCATGGAAGACATATATTATATTTCCAATCGAACGTCTCAAATACATGACCTAGTAGAATCAGCCTTTTGGCGACATGTAGCAAAATATGACAATCCTGCTGATCTAGGTAAAATTGGGTGCAAGCCACTGCATCTTGCCACCAGTGTCGATTTTGATGGGATTTTTCAAATAAAGGCGTCCATGCTAAGATCGTCCACCATAATAAAGGGTTATATGGCTGTCTTTGTCTGTTTTCCGACAAAAGCAGTACATCTCGAGCTATGTACGAATCTGACTAAGAAGGCTTTTCTCGCGGCATTTGTTCGCTTCGTCGGTCAACGCAGCTTCCCCTCAAAACTAATGAGCGATAACGGCAAAACCTTCATTGGAGCACAAAGAGCCACTGACTAACAGTTTGTGGATATTATTAAACAAGTATCACCGAAATTGTTCAGAAGTATGCTCCCCAAGGCATTAATTAGCAGTTTAACCCCCCAAGCGCTCCTCATATGGGTGGTTTGTGGGAATCAGCTCTAAAAAGGTTCAAATCCCACTTCAAAAAAGTCACAACACTAACTCACGGGCATTCTCTCAAAGGAGCATCCATTCTGGCCACACCTACGGCAGGCGTGGAGTCGCTATCCTTATTTAATCGATGGGAAAGAATCAAAATTGTCCATCATGACTTCAGCCGCCGATGAAAGGAAGAATATATCAAGGACCTTCGTAAAAGATACCGATGGAAAACTCCAGAAAAGGCGCAAACGGCTTGGCCGCATAGAAGCACTACATTACGGTTCCGACGGTCATATACGAGCAGTTGATCTCCGTACTAAAAGCGAAATGCTAACAAGACCGCTGGTGAAATTATGTTTTCTGCACACCACATATAATAACGAAACCGCAAATAACGAACAGTCCGTCGATATTACCGCAACGCAAATGAATAAATCGTATAACAAACCGATTAACCCGCAAATAACTCAACCGTTGAAAATGCTAACCATACTAACCGCAATGATCGATCCAGACGACGATCCATTCCTAACACATACAGTGGAACAATCGCCATAAATTTACATGCCGCAAATGTATAACCATTCTAACTTCTTTATACAGATAAATATGGATGTGGATATGGCAGCAACACCAATGCCAGCTGTGAGATCCGCCATTAACGTGCCGCGTCCTGGGGCAACTCCAGCGCCCCGAACAACTCCTCGTAGTGGTACGTGACCACTAGCACCCTCCTCAGCACCTGCAACAGATCCTCAAACCAGTCGATACCCACTGTGTCGACGCAACACTGCAGCGTTTTCCGAGGCATGCAGCCCATGCAACGTCAGCAGGTTGCCCAGGCCTATAGGCACTGCCTCAATTGTTTGGCCACAATACACGCAACTCCGGTGTACGTCAATGCCAACTATGAAATAGACCACACCATGCTGCATCGCACCCTAAAGCGGGCCGTCGAGAGACAACTCGCCCCGAGCTTCCATGCCGTGAGCAGATCGCAGCAGAGCAGCCGTTCGGCATCAACGCGACGTCGGCAGCCCAGGCCATCCTACCGCCCAGGCCATCCTGGCCTCAGCAGCGTTGTAGCAACTACAGCGATTGCTAGGCTAAAATTCGCCTAGGGGGCCGGGATGGCTAGATGAGTTACGCCTCCCCCCTCCTTACACGCCACTAAGCGCCAACAGACCGTATCAACACAATCCATCCCGCACATACACATCACATCACACTAAAACTCTACACAACCAAACCATCAAAACGGTTTTGCTTTCCAGGTTTCTGAAGAGGTAAAAGTTGCTGGGAGCTAAATCTAGTGAATGCACCGGATGCTCAAGTAATTCTTACTTTAATTCTTTGAATTTTTTCACTGTTAAAACACGTTTGTGAGCAGGTGCATTGTCTTGATGAAAAATAATTTTTTTGTGCTGCAAACCAGGTCTATTCTCACGAATTTTTTTATCCAGTTGATCCAAAGGGCTGTAATAATATTCAGAGTTTATTATTAATTTTTAATCAACAAAATTCCTTTTGCATCCCAAAAAACTGATGCCATAACATTCTTTGCTAATCGTTGTGACTTCACCTGTTTTGCAGCTGAACAACCAAGTTCGGTTCACTGTAAATGTTCTTTTTTCAATTTAGGATCATGGTGGTAGATCCAAGTCTCATCCATAGTTATAAAACGAGGCAAAAAATCGGTTTTATTCTGCTTAAAGCGCTCCAAATTATTCTGAGAAATTTTATTTCGATCCAATAATTAATCAATAGATTTAGGCTGTTTAATAGATTATCTCACTAATCTACTAGATTTAGCAAAATTTCGCCATCCAAAAATCACTTTTGTTAATCTCGTCACAGGTGATTTGAATCTAATTTACTCAAAATCTCCCTTTTCGACTCAGATTTAGCGTTTTCTGTTTGTCACATTTTGTTTTATTAAAGAATATTTTGACTTTAAAAAGTGTCAAATTGAAAAAAATTAAGTAAACAAATAAAGTAACAAATTAAAGCAATATCAAGTAAATAAGTGAGATTGGCAGAAACTAGTACCAAAAAAAGGACAGTAATGTGGAGTGAGGCTGTCAAAAACAGCTGTTTTATAAATACTCAACGGCAGTGAGGACAGACTAGATTATTGAATAGATTAAATGTAATCTCATAATTTTTTTTGTTTAGAATATGGTATTATGTATATATATAATATTTACATATATGTATTTTTGTTAGTTACCGGTAAGTATCGGTATATCTGCCGCAATAATGATAAGATACAAGATTACGAAAAGTATTTGCCGTTTCTTTTTTCGGCTTAGGCTGTGACAAATTACACTATACCGCTATCTAGTAACGTAATTCTTTTGAGATAAGAAGAAAAAGCATATAAATTGCCAATTAAGTGAATGGTTAAAAGGGATTGTGATTGCAAAGGTTGTATTTGTTTGAATTTATAAGTATAAAATGTATTGATTTTGGAAAATGAAGTTTGCAAAAGCGAGTTGCAATAACTATTATGCAAATAAACCATTAAAAATGATTTGTTTCAGTTTTCCTTCGGATATATAAGTTTTAAAAAATAATACGTAATTTTTTGCAGGCGAAATTAATTTCATAATCATAATAATTGTAATTTCAAAATCTTTTCACAAAAATTTCATTTAAATACATTTGAACTAATATATGTTTCTTGGTGAAAGAGCAGAAGCTTTTCGTCCCACCTGCATTTGTGCACAAATATGTATCGGCCGACATTTAATCAATAGATTAAGGCTGTTTAGTAGATTATCTCACTAATCTACTGGATTTAGCAATATTTCGCCATTCAAAAATCACACTTGTTAATCTGGTTAGTATTTACGCTTTTGTTTTCAATTTTAATGCCCTATTCTTTTTCTCATTTCAAACGAATTACGTTACAAGAAGGCGGTTGGCATAATCCTAATCCTGGGCCCGGAATTTTCAAAGGGGCCCGTATGTGAAGACGATGTTACCATCAATAAAAAAAACACACGGAAACGACCTACATGAAGAAGTGGTTGAAAATTCCAGTAAAGAAGAAATTTAATTCAATTGAAACACTTTCTACGCCACACTTGTCAGCGTTCTCGTCGCGATTTCAGAATATCAAATAAGATCAACTTAACGCAGCTGTAAAAAAGTATTCCATTGATGTATTTGATAAGTTGTCTAATGAAGCTATTAACAGTATAAGTATAACAAGTTTACGATACAAATTTTGGAACCCGTCTTACTCCATAAAACTTATTGAATGCCATTAATGCTTGAAAATAAGCAAGACCTTTCCCAAATATTTGCATCGCTTTGAGAATATTTTGCACCTCACCCGTTTCTGTTTCAAGTGGTGAACGTTTGTTGGTACTTTAGCAGGTATCAAAAACTTTCATCGATCATGCTCGTCACAGGGGAGGATTTCAGGACTACATAGCTTCACTGTGCCTAGAGGCAAAATTAGCCAAGAAGTTGAATATCCAGACTACATATAAATCGACGCATTCGCTACCACCAAAGCTCGAAAAGCTCACTTCTAAGTTCAAAATAAGTTAAGATTGGAGGATTTAAAACTGCATGTTCAAAAACTTAATCATAACAGTCAATAAATTTCAAAAGAACCGCTTTTCATTAATTAAATTGATAAATGAATTATCAATCAAAATAATTTATCGAGATGGTTCTGTCTTCTTATTAACTGTCAAGTCTTGCTATCCCTATATTCATATATTTCGAAAAAATCTGAATAAATATTTCTACTGAAAGTCGCTGATGACGAACTGATTTATACCCCCTTTTACCCCTGCAGACTGATCGATATGTTCGGTAAAAATCAGCCACATGGACTGGTGTCTTCGTCCTTGAAAAGTTGTAGCCGGTTTTCGAAAATTTTTTGATATGAAGTTGCTTTAATCACTAGTCTGAATGAGACTTTCATTACGTGCATTGTTTATTGTTAAGGTATCATCACTTATTTCTTGAATTAGTGTTCTATTATTATACTGTACATAATTTCACAATCATCAGAAAAGATACAATTCTTGTCCAGTTTTAATTTTTTAAATACAGAATTTTTCCTTTACACATAGTGTTCTTTATTTATTATTACAATTAATTCATCTTTTTGATTTATCTGCAAGTTTGTTCCTTTGGTAATGGTGTAATTAATTTTACATTTTCTTTAAAAAAAGTTTCTTGGGATTTTTAGGGTGTATAATGTATTGTATTTACTTCATTGACGATTTCTACTTCGTTGAGTTGAATCATGGTGTATCCCGCAACTTCAATTATCGGTGCTGCTTGTAGAAACGCTATCACCAATTTCATCAGAAACGCTATTATTATCCACATGGTCTGAAAATACATTGTCCCGTGAAGAAGCATTATTTTTTATATGCTAATGTTAATCCTCTTCGGTGTCTAACTTCTCTGCTTTAGCTAATTTAAGTGGCCTCTTTATGTTTGCTACAAGAATGTTCTGCAGGGGGTAAATTGGTAATACGGTTCGTCCTTGTGTCGTACTCGTTTGTAGTTTTTTATTGGCCCTGACGATCTCAGTTCTATGTAGTCTCTGTCCTTTTTTCTTTCTTGTATTATGTGGTGTCTATTTTTTTTTTTAATTTTTGGATCTATATCATTTTTTGCGTTATTGGGTGTACATTTAATTGTTGTGTGATGTTGGTCATTATAGTTACCTATAACGCTCAGTATCTTCATTTCTGTTGAGAGGCTTAGATCTTTAATTCCTGTTAGTTCTTCTACCAGGGTTGAGTGCAGCCTCTCAATGTCTGCATTGCCTGTATGAGAATTTGGGTTTGTTAGGTGTACCTCTACTCCTTCTGCATTTAAGAACTGTATCAATTGTTCGGCCCTGAATTCATTATCCGTTATGATTTGTTTTGGTTTTCCAAATTGCGCGATATGTTCAATTATAATAGCCTTCTTTGCCCTCTAATTTCTATCAGTTATGCTGTATCCTGCCGTGAATTTTGTTCGTTTGTCAATAACTGTGACAAAAGACTGCTTTTTGAAATGAAAAATGTCTACATGTATTATTTCGTTTTATGTGTTGGTGTTTCTGTTAGTTTAAACTTTGGTCTTATCGGTTTCCTATCATACTTAACTCTTTGGCACTTTTCACAGTTATTTATTATTAACTGTATGTGATCTTTGAATTTGGGACAGTATATTTTGACCTTAAGTGTATTGTAAGTTTCGTTTATTCCGCTATACATTGACTCATTACTATGGTAAAGTAAGATTTGCTTATATAAATTTTCTTCTTTTTCTATTTCTGTTGCTCTTTTTGTACATTTGACAAATTTAAAATTATTATCATGTGAAAACATCGAAATCATTAATATCTGTGGATTGAATTATGCGCCACCTTGTTTAGCACTCACCTTTTTATCTTGTATTCACTAATAAATTGTTTTTTTTTTATGTTTTTTAAAGAAGTCCACAATTTATTTTCGCACAAAATTAATATAAGTATTTTAAATAACTAACAGGTTGTGACGTTGATAGTGGAGATAGCGATTGGTACGATTACGTTGCGCAAGAGAGGCTGGTGGTCGCTCGTCGTCCCCTTTTTACCTCCCTCGGTGTGGTGTGTAGTGTGTCTTCATATGTGGTGTGATCGTGATGATAGGGTTGGTGTGGAATGTGTGTGTGGGATGTAGGTGTGGTGATGTGGATGTGAATTGCTCATTTAACCATCCCGGCCCACCTAGGCAAATATTTAGCCTAGCAAATTCTGCAGTTGTTGCAACGTTGCTACAACACTGCTGAGGCCAGTGGGGCGGCGGGATGATGGTCTGGGCCGTCGGTGCCGTCCAGGTGTTTCGTTCCTTACATTCCTTGGACGATACTGTGGAGCGGCAGCTGGGCGTTGATGTTGTATCGGGTGGCTGGGTGGCGGTCGCCTGACAGCGCCGCGACTGCGTGGTGCGGGTGGTCGCCGAACGTCGCGCCTGGAGGTGCGGTGAAGGAACGTATGGTGTAGCCTTCCGCACAATTGACATGAACACTCCGAGTCACACTCTTGCGTCGTATGGGTAAGACTCAGGCAATTGAGGCAGTGTCCATGCGCCTGGGCTACCCGCTGACGTTGACTGGGTTGCATGGATTTGAAGATGCTAGAGTGCTGTAGCCGGTGGGAGCGGCGACACAGCGGACATCGGGTGCGGTGCGGCTCCGGTTGCACCAATGGCGACGCTGGCGGTGGTTGTGCTGTGTTCCGCGCGACAGCTGTGACAGTTGTTGCAGCGGTGGCTCGAGGCGCTGGAATCGGCCCAGTGCGCGGCACGTTGATAGCCGATCGAATGGTTGGCGTTGGATTTGTCGGCATTTCCACGTCCATATTAATCTGTATGAAAAGATTAGATTTAGTATATGTTTGTGGCATATAATTGAATATGGGCAATTGTGCCACGTGATGTGGCACGCGTGGGTCGGCATATTGATCGACCATTTCTGTTTGGAATTGTTGTTAACGTTTTTTATTTTTATTTATTTGCGGGTTTATTGATTCGATTTATTTGAATTTAATACCATTTTATTTTCTGTAGTACGGTCGGTGGGCAGGAAGCATAGTTTTACGAGCGGTCTGGTTAGCGTTCCCGATTGCGTGCGGAGATCTACTATTCGGATATGACCGTCGGACCCGGAATGAAGCTTTTCTATGCGGCCAAGCCGCCATTCGGTGGGGGGGAGACAATCATCATGGATTAGGACGCAATCTCCAAGCTTTGGCGCTTTTTCTGGAGTTTTCCAGCGGTACCTCTTGTGGAGGTGTTTTAAATATTCTTCTTTCCATCGACGGCTAAAGTCATGATGGAGAATTTTGATTCTTTCCCATCGATTTAATAAGGATAGCGACTCCACGCCTGGCTCAGGTATGGCCAGAATGGGTGTTCCTTTGAGAAAATGCCCTGGAGTTAGGGCTGTCAAATCTGAGGGATCTTGCGAGAGTGTCGTTAGTGGCCGTGAATTGAGAACGGCTTCGATACGGATTAGTAATGTTGTAAATTCTTCGTAATTGAATTTGTAATTTCCAGCTACTTTTTTGAAGTGGGATTTGAAGCTTTTTACAGCTGATTCCCATAAACCACCCATATGAGGAGCGCTTGGGGGGATGAATTGCCAATTAATGCCTTGGGGCGCGTACTTTTGTACAATCTCAGGTGAGACTTGTTTGATAAAGTCCACAAATTGTTTTTCGGTGGCTCTTTGAGTGCCGATAAATGTTTTACCATTATCGCTCATGATCTTCGATGGAAAGCCGCGTCGACCGACGAAGCGAGCAAATGCCGCAAGGAAAGCCTCCTTTGTCAGATTAGTACAAAGCTCAAGGTGTACTGCTTTTGTCGTAAAACAGACAAAAACAGCCACATAGCCTTTCATCAGAGTGGGAGACGTTAACATGGACGCCTTTATTTGAAAAGGCCCAGCAAAGTCGACACCTGTGATGGAGAAAGGCAGAGCGAAGTTGCAGCGTTCGGGGGGAAGTGCTGCCATAATCTGTGTTCTCATCTTTTGCTTGTGCGTGGTACAGATTTTGCACAAGAAAATGCACTTCTTTATTTGGGGCTTAAGTCGGGGAATGTAAAATTCCTGGCGGACCATATGTTGCATGAGGCGATGTTCGGCATGAAGCATTAATATGTGGATATAATTGATGAGTAGTGTGGCAAGTCGAGACTTCTCTGGAACAATTATGGGATGGCGTTCGTTATACGTTAGGCTTGAATTGGCAAGCCGACCATTCACACGAAGAAGACCTTTCGTGTCGAGGAATGGGTTTAGAACTAAGAGGGGACTTCTTTTGTCAATAGGTTTTGATTCTCTCAAAAGTGATATATCGCGGCTGAAGTAGCGCGCTTGCGTAGATGCGATAAGAGCGACCTTTGCTTTTTGTAAGTCTAGGTGCGTCACTGTATCGCATTGGGAGTGTAATGAAGTTACTCCCTTAAGTTTAATTTTGAGTTGCTCTATGAACTTGAGCATGTAAGCGATTACCCTGAGTGCTCGGGGATACGATGAAAATCGTTCGAGGATGTCAGTATCATCCACTGTTGTGTGAAAAGAGTCGATTTTTCGACTTTCTGGGGCAATTATATTGCGCATGGGCGATTGTGGCCAAGAATCGGGAGATTCTGTTAACCATCGGGGGCCATTCCACCAGAGGGTGGTGGTGGCGAGATGCAGGGGTTTGCATCCTCTTGTACCTAGATCAGCAGGATTGTCAGCACTGGCTACATGTCGCCAAGTGGCTGATCCTACTAGGTCAAGTATTTGAGACGTTCGGTTGGAAATATACGTCTTCCATGCATGTGGTGGTTTTTCTAACCAGGCGAGTACGATTTCAGAATCGGACCACAGATATAGTTTGTATTTTGCCATGTTTAAATGCATTCGTACCATGGATACTAGTTTGGCTAGTAGGAGCGCTCCACACAGTTCAAGTCTTGGCAGACTTATTGTTTTTAACGGAGCTACTTTTGCTTTTGCTACTAGTAGGTGGCTTGTGGTCGCAATGTCGCTTTGTGTGCGAACATATATAGTTGCGCAATATGCCTTTTCAGAAGCGTCACAGAAGCCGTGTAGTTCGACTGTGTGCTCTGGGGCATAATTTACCCATCGTGGGATTTGTATCTGTGAGATATCATGTAGATTGCTCGCAAACTGGGACCACTTTTCTAAACGCAGTGGTTTTACTTGTTCATCCCAGTCGGTACCATCTAACCATAATTCCTGTATTAGAATTTTAGCTTGTATCATAACTGGCGAAAGCCATCCTGCGGGGTCGAAAAGTTTCGCCACAGAGGATAGAATTTGCCGCTTTGTTATGGCAGATAATGCAGATATTTCGAATTTAAGGAAATTAGTATCTAACAGATTTTCTTTAGGTATGTCCTTTAAGATATTAGGGTGGTTCGCCGTTATCTTTTTTAACGGAAACCCTGCGGTATTTAGGGCTTGTATCACTTGTGATAGTGACTCGTATGCTTGTGGAAGACTGTGACTTCCAGACAAGATATCGTCTACATACGTTTGTGTTTTTAACACCTGGGTTGCCAGAGGAAATTCTGACTTGGTGTTTTCTGCCAATTCGTGCAGTGTTCGAATGGCTAGATATGGAGCACAGTTGACGCCAAAGGTAACTGTTTTTAATTTAAAGTCGCGGAGTGGACTATTGGGAGATTTTCGGAAAATAATTCGCTGAAAATCTTGATCGTCTTTATGTACGGCTATTTGTCTATACATTTTTTCGACGTCTCCGTTAAATACGTATTTGAATATACGCCAATTTAAAATTAGTAGCATTAAATCTGCTTGGAGCGTGGGTCCCGTAAATAGGATATCATTTAGGGAATTCCCCGAGCTGGTGGATCTTGATGCATTAAAGACTACTCTTACTTTAGTTGTTTTTTTTGTTTGGCTTTACTACTGCGTGATGAGGCAAGTAAAATGAGTAATATTTGCCATTTATGATTTTTTCGCATGGGCTTACTTCCTCCATGTGGTCTAAATGGAGGTATTCTTCTAACACGCCATCGTATTCTGGCTTAAGCTCACCTTTTTTAAGTAAGTTCTTTTCCATACTTAAAAACTGCTGTATTGCAGCGGTGCGAGAGTGACCTAAGGCGAGTGTGTGAGGAAATTGTTTTTTTAGTGGTAGTCGTACGACATACCGACCATTATCTGATCTAGTAGTTGTGGCTTTGTAAAAGTCTTCACAATACTGATCTTCAGGGGTTGTGATTGATATGGGGGGGGAGTTCTTCTAACTCCAAAAATTTTTTCAATTGTGAATTAGGGTATTCGTTTGAGATTTTCTCAACCTGAGTGGTCATGGTGGTAACTGGTTCCGAAACTAGTTCACTTAGGATCCACCCAAAAATAGTATTTTGTGCCAGAAGTGTATTTCAAATTTTCTCAATACCTTCGAGTATAATCTGTGGTATGAGATCGCTTCCTAATAGAAGGTCTATTTGAGCGAGAGTGTTGCAGTTGGGATCTGCTAGCTTCAGGTGTGAAACCTTTTGCCAATGCTTGCTATTTATGTGATAGCTTGGAAGCATATTTGTAAGTTGCGGTAAGACTATAGCTTCTGCTTGTATGTGCTTATCCGCTTGGGGGGAAATTAGGGTAATGGGGCACATTTTATTAGAGTTTTGGACTACTCTTCCGCCCATTCCTGTAATTTCAAAGTTGGCTTGTTTTGTTGGCAGTTGTAGCCTATTTTGTGCCCTAGACGCTATGAAAGATCGTTGTGATCCTTGGTCTATTAAGGCC